CTCGCTAAGCCTCTGTGCCACAGCTGCCCGCACATCCTGAGCCACTTTAATGTTTTTTCCTCCGCTATCAACAGACAGGCGACACCTGAGTACTGCTCAAAAAATGTAAACACAATAGGTGAATGGGGGACAGTCATATTGACAAATGGGGCCTCCAAAGGTGAGGCTCCTACATTAATTAAACAAGAAATATCTCAGCGTGCTTAGGGTCAGGAATGAAAAAAAAAATAAAAAATTAGAGTGATGATACGCAAGGCAGAAGTAGTCGATCTCAGAGATGCTGTGAAATAATGAAATTGATTCGCGTGTTTTTCAGTGAACAACACAACTCAATCTGCTAAAATGTTATGAGTCACAGTGTGATTTAAGGTAAGGGAGGCAAGGGAAAGAAATTATTAGAAATGGAGGAAATTAGGCAGAAGGGAGCAGCCGTAGATCACTTAAGGGTGAATGTTAAACAGCTCTGCTGCAGTCAGCTTCATCGCAAGCATGTTGTAGCTGGAGACTCTTCACACTGGTGATATTGCTGTACACTACATGCTGCCTGTAGGGAGACAGTAGACAGTCTTTTGTCATCATCATCATCGTCATAGTTATCGTCCCCACAACCATGACATGACAAACTTCACGCTCATGCCACCGTCGCACATTACATGCAGCCCTGTTGTGTGTAGCTGAAAGTCAAAGCATAAAAGACCATAATAAAAGAACTCACTAAACTGCCAAACTCTATAAACGACAGAAGCATTCTTTTGGGATACAAGAAAGACAAGTCTGGACTGAAACCAAAGAAAATAAACAGCAAACGTCTGGGAAGAAAAACCAATGGCACCTATAAAAATGTTTAAGTTCTCGCAGCTGGTTTTGACTGTCAGTTACATACCTGCACTCCATGTAACTGTGTGACTTTCTTTATCTTTAAATACCATGCATTTCAATGCCATGTAGACCGTCCATCCACCTTACGTACAATTTAGCCAGTACAGTACTATTGTACTATTGTAATCCAGACAGAACATACATAACCCACACGCAGAGAGTTAGAGGCGTGACGCTGGAGTGCTCAAACATGGACAGAACATACATAACCCACACGCAGAGAGTTAGAGGCGTGACGCTGGAGTGCTCAAACATGGACAGAACATACATAACCCACACGCAGAGAGTTAGAGGCGTGACGCTGGAGTGCTCCAACATGGACAGAACATACATAACCCACACGCAGAGACTTAGAGGCGTGACGCTGCAGTGCTCCAACATGGACAGAACATACATAACCCACACGCAGAGACTTAGAGGCGTGAGTGCTCCCCACTGAACCACCATTCCACTGCAGTCAAGACGATCTGAGCCAAATAAGCTACCACAAGTAAAGTCATTCTGGTGCCGGCTGTCAAGAAAATGTTGATTAAGATGTCATGGTTTCACTGTGGTCGACAGAACAGCCAAATCATGTGTCTTTCTCCTCAAAGGTGGCTTTCTGCTGATTCAGTACCTCTTGGAATACTTCAGAAATCCACAAGGCTTCACACCGGCATCTCCACAAGGCCTGGTGAAAAAAATTCTTTCTCAGTGGGCAGGATCCTTTCAATGTATGTGGGAACCCCGTTCTCATGACAAGCTTCCAAGATCCATCCACCCATTTTCTGTAACTACTTCTCCTACTCAGAGTCGCGGGGAGAAGATCAAAAAACTATGAAAACAAATGAATAAAGAATAAATAAACAATAAAATTATTTCTGCAGCACAGTGCAGGGGTTGTATACTGAGGGAAAAAAAACCTGAATCTCAGGGCCTTAGTTTCTTGTTCTGTACAACTACACCACTGTTAATGTAAGGTCATCCCTTTTGTCTTTGCTGAGTGCAACTAACTATGGTTTAAGGCTCCTTCACTAGTTGTAAAGACTATATCCGAGCAGAAGGTATATATTACAGCATGGGATTTGAAACATAAATAGGGACACTGAAACACACGCACACATAAACTCACACATTAACAAATACTGTCGACATTTCATTGTGCAGGTTTGTCCACGTAGAAGAGGAGTTAGACCCTCCCAATCAAGGTTTTCAACTGCATGTTTTTATTACAAAAATCTGAAAGAACTGTTTCAATCCTCTCCAAAGCAAATTGAGTCAGTTACCATGTTTGTGCTAAATCAATGAATTAATTTCACCGAGAAGATTAATCTTAAAACTAAGCCCTATTTTTTACCCTTGGTAAAGGGCCAGTCCTCCAAAGGAATCACACAAATATACTCCCTCGATAGCAAACTCATCTCAGCATTTCCAGCAGTTCAATGAAGTGGCCTTTGCCATTGCAAAACACATTAATGTTACTACATATGAAAAGTCCATGGGGCTGCCAACGCTTCAGTAAATGGAAAGGAAAACATTCACTCAAACTGCTTGTGATCCTGGAGTGCTGGTATTCAGCACGTTTTCCATCCTACCTGGTCTCTGATGAACCACATCTGATCTCAGGCAGATAGTAACTCATCAGGTAAGATAGAAAACCTGCTTGATACTGACATTCCAGAATCAGGGCTGCCTACCCCTGATGTAATGCTTAATTCCCTCCATCCACTGCAAGGTCCTCTTTCCAAAAATCCACAAATATGCTAGCAAAGTTTTATGATTATTTCTAAGGAAAAAAAAACAGCAAAAAAAGGATTTTTGAAGCATACTTGTCAGCTCTAGATGTGCTTTGCAGGTATGTGAGCCTGAATTCCCAAGGGAGCCTGCTGTTGTACGTTCAAGATCAATGCTGAACTGCACCTGAATCGCCGCAGTGAAACATCCATCTAATACAAAAGGGTAAAATTCACTGTGCATAAATGCAGCAGCAAAACGACGAGATGTGAATGAGATGAGGAACATCTGAAACTCTAGTGTAGGCATCCAGACTGTGGTGGAGAAATTTCCTTTGGATGGAACCTGATGGACCAGTTATGACTGATGCTGGTGACCATATCCATGAATTTGGGAAATGTAATGAGCTGCATTTCACAGATGGGTGACAGAACCTGCGTTTTTCTTTATTTGTTTCCTCAGATACTGTCCCTCTAAATTTGGCTGTTTCCAGTTCTAGCGAGAATAAGGTGACACAACATTTGCGCTCCTCTGTTTTGCTGTCTTGTCACAATGCCCACTTATTGTGGAAATTATATGGCAGGAGAGCTAAGAAACCTGTTGGAGAAGTGAAAAAAAAAACTTCTGATGGCAATTAGCCATCTGCAGGTACCTGGCAGGTAACAGCAGTCAGAAAAGACACCCGGCCAACCGTACAGGGATTTACAGGTCTACCAGAATCCAATGGTTCGGCAAATTTTTTTAAGTTAAGATAAATTTGGTTTTTTAGGAAGGCGTCTGCTTTTAGTGTGTAACAGAATTCCTGGGATGACTACCTCACGTGAACATGGAAACCTCAGTCTTGCCACACCTGACATGAGGTGACCCTGATCTGTGGCCAGCAGGACTGTCTGAAGGGGAAGAATCTGTGTGTCTTTTACAGCCGTCATGTGGATGCTCAGGAATAAGGCACCGACAGCCGCTCCCAGTGGTGTGGAGCTTAGATACTACCAGTCAGAGACTGAGTGATGAGAACAGTGGTGCCTTTGGTTTGCAAGCAATAATATTGTTTTTTGCAGCTCCACCTTCCAGAAAAGAGAGCCCTGCATGCATCATTTGCAGGGGAAATAAATATTAAAAGTACAGGCATTTGAGATCCCCCGCTGGCTGTCAGTATGAAAGACAGGAATATCTGATCACACTCAACTTACCAGGCTGAGGCGAATTTCTCAGGTGTGAACATTTTGTCGCAATGTCAGCACAGGAATGACTCACAGACAAAAAAGTGACGCTAACTCAGTCTGAATAAATACTGTCTTCTTGCTCTCGCTATCAGTGTAAACGTGTTCCTCCTTCTTCCTCTAGATTACTGTGCTGTGAATGTACCTCGGGCTTACTCGGCGCTGCGTGTCTCCGATCATTGCAAATTCAGTGACAGGAATCTGATACTGAGGACGTTATTTATCGTACTGTTGTCGTCAGTCAGTGAGTCCCGCACTGCTGGAGCGTACTGAAATATCCGCTGACATTATTTATGGCAGTATACCTGGTATTTATCTTAAATACTATACATATATAAAGTTTTGCACGAGCAAATAAGTCACCTGCTGCACCCATAACCCCTGATTCAGCACATACCTGTCTGTCGACGGTGATTCCATTGAAGAATCTTGGAAATTTTCTACTGAAATATGGAGCATCGATGTCTGCCTCCACCGATAAAGCTAACGAGCTGAAATCCTATAAATAACCTCAAATCAACCTTCATACGAGATATAAGTGGCACATACACATAAACAGAGTTTTTGTCATTTAGGGAAATTGTATAATTTATTCATATATCCATTCACCTTCCCGCTTGTCCTGAACATATAGTCATACGTATGAACGTGGGTAATCCATGAAATCTAGAGACTATGCAATCATACTTATGTCTTTCAGACTTAATAAGATTACATTGTATCTGTTTCAATACATTATAGTAAACGGCATTTGAAAAGAGAACATATTGTTTCATCTGGTTTATTTAATTGCCTGAAGTCAACTATCACTTACAAAACGCTTGACAAGCGCCACCTACCGACCACATCTAAAACGTGACGATTTCAGAAATAAATGTATTATCCAAAACTTGATTTAAACTTGATTTAAACGATCATTTAAATTTTACATAAAAAATAATAAATTGTAGATAGAGTAAGTATGCAAACACGTGGTACATCATTTGTTGATTGGCCTGAATTGTAAAAAGTAATAAAATGGAAAAGGAAGCATGCATATTAAAATATAAGACTTGCACTGTCTTCGGTGTTCTTCGCCTGGGGGGTTATAAGTTCTGAATTATCTGTTCAACGATTCGCATGCAAAACGTAAACATTACAATATGCTTAACAACTGAACAATTTAAATAACACTAAATGAAAACATTAGACATTGTAACAATGTTCTTTATTAGAATTCATGATTTTTTTGGCATATATAATGTTCATTTTACAATTAGAATGTATTTAAACATTTGTATTACATTGGCAATATGATATTTGTAAAAAAAAGTGCTTTTTTTCTTACTGTATATTTGTAGAATGAAAACATTCAACCAGTGAAAAGACGAGAGCAACCGACACTGAATTCCGACTATTGCCCTAGTATGATCGTTTAAAAAAATACAGTTCGTCCTACTCTAGATATCAGGCTTAAAACAGTACCTCACTGAAATCGAGTGAGAAAGCTCCGTGTAGAAAAATCATGAATTCGGCAACAGACGTTGTATTAGATGCACCTTTCACATTTTGAAAAATACAGCATTAATATAAAGCTTGAACCCTATAAAGCTTGAACCCTATAAAGCTCGCACTGAGAGGCGTTCAATATAGGAGTACCCGAGCCAATGGCAATTTCCAAAATACAATGTGCTTTATTCGCCGCATTTTGACGACATATAGTGCATAATACAAACTGCTTATATCAAGCAGATACCACAGTATTGCAGTTGCGTTCCAGTCCTTTACTTTGGCATATAATTCAGACTAACACTTCCCAAAAATATCAAATCAATTTTATGACATAATGTAAGAAAGGGTGTTTTGTACCATAAAGCTAAAACAGCTTGATTTAATTCGGGGTCAAAACATATCAAATACGAATCTCTGCACTTATCTATCCAGTTTTGGGGAAAAACGCGCCACCTGAAAGCACTATAGACTTTTGTGGACAGTTTAATATAGTTCAAAACGAAACAGCTCATATTCGATTTCGAGTAGAAAGGACATCCAAAAATGCTGTTTAAAACGAGACATATTAAAATGAAATTTATAGCCTAGAGTTTGATGCACTGATATGTTTTGCATAGCTAAAAACACACATTCAAGCATATCGTTACGTTAAGGCAAAAGACAATCGCACATCCACTGTTTACACAGTATACACAACTAAATGTTTGAGAAAACGAGCTTATTGTTTTGTACAAAAGGCACATACATGTATATTTCAGCTGCCTTGCTCCTTTAGAGAATCTGTCAGATCTATGGCGAAGATCCAACAAGATACAATTAAAACAGTTTGATAAGTCCTACGAACTTCAGGTTCATTTTTACGAACAGTTCCCCATGGCTTTGACAAAAGAGCCGTCGGGGAGCTGCCGGAAGATGCCCCTTAAAGTCTCCAGTTCACGCGTGAGATGCTCCACTCTCTTGCGCAGTCTGTCGTTGTCAGACGTCAGCTCTATCACCTTCTGCTGCGTCTCCACATTGCGCATTTTCGCCTTGTCCCTACTCTTCCTCACGGCGACATTGTTTCGCTCTCTCCGCAAGCGATATTCTGGACTGTTCTTGTCGATTTGCTTTTTGGTCTTTCCCCGGTCGTTGCCACCCATTATCTTCATCGATCCGCCGGGCAGGTTGTTCTGTTGGTGGTGGGGGCTTGGCACCGGGGTGGGCGGAGGGGTCGGGTGGCCAGGCTGGAGGTGCATGGTAGTTTGCGCACAGTGCGCGACCTGGTACTGGAGATGTGGTAGATGCTGGGTGTGATGATGGTGAGAATGATGGTAAGTTGGTGGCATGGACGACGGACTTGCGTCTTCGTCTTCTCTTGGTTCTTGCTTGATGGCCACAGGTCGGATTCTTGTGGCAGAAGTGTTGTCGTACATTGGTTCCTCCTTTGAGTCCATGTAACTGGCCATACAGCCGTAAATTTGTTGGTGAGCCCCAGGCGCGTTGCTGCTGCCGTGGGTGTAGTCGTAATCACCGCTGGCCAGCTTGGCTTTCTCTTGTTTCGAGCTGTGGTGAAACAAATCTGCCAGAAATTCGTCGTTAAATGCAGCGGGATCGATGTATGCACTAATGTCAATCGAGTTCTCGTTCTCGCAAATCTCACTCAGGTCTCCAGAAACTGGAGGTTCTTTGTAGTAGAAGGCACTTTGCTGATTCTGGGGAAGGCTGGTCATCGGTGGTCGAAAGGCGACCTCGTAGAAGTTCGGCTGCTCCATCGAGTATCTAAAACCCGCCAGACATGGTGAAGAGCTCCGGGAATCCAGCTTGGTCGCAGTACCGGAGAAAGCCGCAATGGCAAGGCGAATAAATCAGTTTAGTACAGGTGTTCTCGCTAGGCAAACTGTGAATGACAGATCAACAGTTAGCTGTAGCTACAAAGACCTAGAAGCCTTTGACAGTGCGCTTTGGAAAAGTGGATGGCTTCTCAGAGAAGGTCTAAAGTACTATCGACACCTCTAGTGGTCTCTAGGAGCAGCCGTAGATCACTACTGACTTACTTCTCTGAACTTAACCTATTTATACAAAACTTTCTGGCGGCATCTCCTGGGTCCTAGCGCCACCCCTTCCTGTCACTACACGGTGATTATTCTTCGCAACCGATTGAGCTGTCGGCATTTAAATAATTAAAAAAAACTTTAAAACCATGAAGTATTTGGCATAATCAGTAGAGTTTATTTTAAGCATAATCAATATATAAAAACCTATTACCTAAACAGTACTTGATAGTTTATATTTCAATTTTTTGGTTTACAGTAATTTCTTGCAGGTCTTAATCAATTGGTTAACATTAGCTTAGAGTCTGCCCTAATTTAACAGTGAAAAGTATGCTAATTTATTGAATTTATATAGTCAAAATGGTCGATAGTCACGGATTAATTGATTCTAGAAAATCATTTGAACTCGTATGCGTCATGTGTCTACATATCAAATTTATAACAGAAGTGAGTGCATATCTTGTAATACATATAGGCTATACATCGGGAAGGGATATATATATATTCATATGTTAATATTATTTCTTGCATACTACCAGCATTCTGATTCATTGTGGTCCTTTATGCTCGCCATGTATCATCACTGAATCGGGGTAAAGTACTACACATTTTAAATGCACGGTACGTGCTCAAAATATTGCATATGTTGTTTGCTTTGGACTTTTGTATAATTTACTGATTATATCAATTAAACAAACGTCGTCGAAGGACTTTTTTTTTTTTTTTTTTTGCAGATGCATGTGAACATGAAGTTCATATTAATCACCTAATCTGGGAGCATTTTGGTTATTGCCCCAGATCATCTTTAGCATGAACATGCTGGTTTTCTGTGTAATATGTTATACCGCATGCCGTCGGGTTAGTCCGGTCGCATTGTGTTTTAATGCTGTTCTCCGTATACGTACAACAACGTGACCAGCCTAGTCGTGTTGCTCGTTTTGCTGAAACTCTCGAAATGCACATGATTAGATACCTGCCTCTCGTTATCGGGACAGTCTTTTCATTTATAACAACGGGGGACTCCTGATTGCAGGACGATATTATTCATTATTTAAGAGTGTTAATTAATTAATGGTCACTTAGAACACATTTGTGACTGGTGTAATGAAGTAACTTTCAGCGACATTTGTCCATTAAACTCTGAGTAAAAATAAATGAAAATATGCAATCCGAATCTACAATTACGATCGGTGTATTTAAAACCGGAGACCAACTGTGTGCATCCTATTGCTACTTACTATATGTCTTAGCCAAATCTCCTATAGCGACTTGGATACTATTGCATTGTGATTCTATAAAACAAATATATAACAAACACATGCTATACATAAAAACTCCATATAGGAGTAAGCATTTTTTTCCAAGCAATATCAAGTATAGCTTAAAGAAACACAGAAGAACCAGTCTCCTGTAGTTTGCTGTATTTTATTTAATTTTACACAAATAACAATGACAACGGTAATGAAAAAGGCGTTCAGGCTAATGTCCTCGGGTTGTCTTCCACAGTGTGAGAATGTAATACTTGCAGGCACAGGGCAGGGAACGGAGCGTGCGCGAGTCTCGCCTGCTCGGAGCTCCCTCTGTTGTTTAACGAAGAACAATGTATAAGGCTCTAGTTAATCGTTTGGCTCGTGGGGAAACTGATGTAGTGTACTAAAAAACAAATACGTAATTAAAAACTGCAAATATAATCCACATTCTTTTAAATTATTCTATAATCAGATGATAAATGATTTATAATAGATATCTAGTATGTTAAAGAAATCAGATAAATGTTAAAACCATTAATAACACTGACAAGTTGGGCACTTTTGTTTGTAGGTAGCAACGAATGAAGTCGTACCATTAGTGAAACGAGTGTCACAGACCCTAGGGCTTCACAGATGTTGTACTTCACGGGCGTCACGTGAAATTAGTACCAAGCGAATGACGTCAGAAACGCCTATTCGTCAGAGCTCAGTAATCTTGTCAATTTGTACCCGAAAAATATTATTTGAACTGTAGACGTTAAAAGAGGGGCTCCATACACACTTCCTTGAAAGTGCAATAAAATATAGAAAACAAAAAAAAACAGTCCTTTTAATAGCTTCCAGTATTCTTTGTAATTTCATTATGAATTATGAAGCTGGTTATTCGTGGGAAACCTAAAAAGGTTACAAATAAGTTTCTGACTTCCTATAGCACTACACTCCTGATACATTAGAAATCTTGACTAGCATTGATTAGGATTATAAGAAGCATACTTTAATCTAAAATACAATTTACAGTTTAAGTGTATGGTAACAATAAGTGTTGAATGGACATCACTTTTGGTCAAAAGATTAATAAGTTGCTATGCCTATCACATATATCTGATGACAAATATGAAATACGTGCATCCAGTTTGTGGTTTGGATCTGCAGTTCTTGGAGTGGCCCCGCTGGCCAGTTAACCTTGTTTACTTAAGTAAAAATACAGAGCTATACAAGACGTTAGTTCTCAAATGAAAAAATGTAGGCATAATGATGTCGGTTTTTTTAATATAAATAAGAAAGAAACTTTCACTAATTAAAAAAATACATATCGATCAAACATTCGTTAACTCTCTAACTTTTTCTTCTCACTCTCCTTCGTGGCTTCTACTCCTTTAACGTTTTAGGATACTAAAATAAATAAGACTTCCGTTTTTAGCACCCCAGTAAACGTTCCTGTTTCATAACTGTAAAATAGGAGTCATATTTTAATTCCACGAAACGCCCTAGAAGCTTCTCTGTCGTGCTATTGGCTACAGGAACCGTCACTCATTCCGCATGTTGCGTCACCTTCTCGGACACGTTGTATCCATTGGTTCGGCTGCTACATTTCCCTACATGGTGAATAGATTTCGCAATGCCATGCGAGTCTCTCTGTTCCCAACAAAAACAGAAACAAAAGTTTTAACAGAAAGGGGATTCAATTAAGAAATTACCATCGACGGACTATTAGTGCGATCGACACGTTTTAAGGTAATGTGTTTATTTACGGTTGTATTTCAAGAGAGTTGATCTGGTCTAGCTAGAGCCATATTTGGGTTGTTTTTTTTTTGTTTCACGTACGTGGTGGTGTGTACAGGGACAGATGTTAGCGATGATTTTTTCCCCCAAATATTTCATAAGTGTCGTGTTGGATAAACACACAACATGTTGTTATGTGTGAAAATTGCCGTTTTACACGAGTCCGAGCCCCCTATATAGCTGGCGAGATGTAGGTTATCAGAAGTACCCCCTGTCGCTAAGCAGCAGTCAGTGGGCGTATCTCGGCGGTGTGTCCATAACTAGCTAGTTAGCTAATCTCCTTTGGAACTTGTTGCCAACTTCAGCTACGATGCGGTTAGTTACTTATACAGCTGTCTGTGTTATGACAGAAGAGTAGGTGACCCAGATCCCTCCTTCAGCCGTCTAACTGAACACAGTCGGCTATATCGCTCAGGGAGGCACTTGCATGGACGCTGCCGCTCACTTTAGGAGCGACCCAGGAATTCCCCTTCCTGGTGGCACAAAGGACCTAGGGGCGCGAGCGGGCGATGACGCGATCCGCCGGCAACGCGCCGGTGACGTCAGCGGCGGCAGTTGAGCGCCCGTGGCGGTGGGCGGGGCTTCTCTCAGCATGAGAGTCGTGCGCGCGCTAAATAGCGGGTATTTCTCTTGTGCCATCAAGCTCATTAGAGCTGTATTCTTGGGCAGCTTATTTGCAGTCAAAAGCATGTTGAAAAGTTTGTACGCTGCTATGTTTGTCTTGAAGCTCTTTTGTTTGGTGGCGCCATCCCAGCCAGAGAAATTGAGCTGTATGTATTGATACGAATCGGGATTAAAACGCGTCGGAGTGTTTGTGAGTTCGAGACCGGTTCTTGGCTTCGTGCGCGTGGACTTCAGTGGATTGGCATGTCTGAAAGGCCCTACTGAGTTTGTGTGCACGGAGATGGACTGGCACACCGCCCAGAGTGCCCGCCGCCTAGTGCCCTCTGTTTCCCGTGATTAACTCCAAGCTGACCTCCGACCTTGTACTAGATGAGTGGTTAAGGAACAGGGTTGCATAAACGGCATTAATAACGATGTACTGTAGAGGTACAAGAAGCCAGACTACTGCCTTTACCTGGGTGTCAGTCATCATATTAAATATGAAAATGTTTCATTCAAGTAATTGCTTTATCTAAACAGCATTTTTTTACAATAACATTGAGTTTTCAGTCTTCACTACTTATCACCTGGAATTGCAGCAGTTTTTGTTATTGTAATGCAGACAGGGTTGCACTTGACTGTGGGGGTGTGTTCATATGCATTCAGTGAAATACTGCCCCAGGTTATTCATGTCTTTGTGGAAGGCTGTAGTTATGTAACCTAATGTCTACATATAGATATGCATGTGTGTGGCACGGTGGTTCAGTGGGCTGCACTGTGGTCTCACACCTCCATGGTTGAGGGTTTGATTTTTTTTCCCCCTCATTTGGTTGTGAACAACGGTCTCCCCACGTTCTCAGTGGTTTCTTCCTACGGTTCAGAAACATACAGTGTAGTTGAGCCCTCTAAATGCCCATAATGAGTGTATGTGTTCTGTGATGGACTGGCATCTAGTCTAGGTGCCTCCTGCCTTGTGCCCGGTTTCCTTGGCATAAGCTCCAGTCTTGCAGGGACTCTATTAGATGAACATCCATTCATCTGCCAAACGCTAAGTCTGGTCAGGGTCACGGGAGGCCTGGCGCCTTTCCCAAGCGGCACAGGGAACAAGGCTGGGCTACACCCTGTGTGCGATGCCAGTCCATTGGAGGGCACATAAATGCATGCACAACCATGCACTAGCACCAGTTTAGAGAAACCAATTAGCCTAACTGCATGACTGGTCTGCGGAAGGAAACGCATGCTTCACAGAGACAACATGCAAACTCCACACACACAGAGCCACGGGGCTACCCTTACTGATCAACATCTATGTGAAAATGAATAAATGATTTGTTTAAACAATTTAAAAATGTGTATTTTAAAGGAACAAATTATTCCAAGATTTAAGCATAATGACATTCATACTAGAAGTTTATATGATACTGTTTCTCTAATTAATTCACCGGAATAAACTTTCTCTTGCTTGAGCATATAAGTGAAACCTTTTAATGCCGATATATTTCTTTTTTTCTTTTCTCAGATTGTTACACAGTACTCTGTTGCTGTGACCCCCGTTCCCAAAAAAAGGCCACCGTGTGACACACTGGGGTACTTAGTGGCTGAGAGTGGCAGACACGTGGCGCAAATGAGCAGGCAGCCCGCGCAGAAGCTGACCACAGACCAGAACGGCGTGAGCGTGATCCAGACTCAGGGCCAGGCCCACGCCAGCGGTCTGCAGCAAGTGCCGCAGCTGGTGCCCGCCAGCAGCGGGGGAGGCGGCAAGGCCTCGTCCCCCAGTAAGGCAAGGAAGTCTGGCGGCGACAAGAACAGCGAGGAATACCGGCAGCGGCGCGAGCGCAACAACCTGGCCGTCAAGAAGAGCCGTTTGCGCAGTAAGCAGAAGGCCCAAGACACGCAGCAACGGGTCAACGAGCTGAAGGAGGAGAATGAGCGGCTGGAGGCCAAGATCCGTCTGCTCAGCAAGGAGCTGAGCGTGCTGAAGGACCTGTTCCTAGAGCACGCACACAACCTGGCCGACAACGTCCAGCCGCCGGGCACCGAGACCTCTGGCACCAACAACAACCAATGAGAGCTGGAGGACGGTCCAGAGGCTTGGTGGGTGATGGGGGAGATTTGGAGCCGCTCTTACCGCCTCTCTGCTTTTTACACTCCTAACAGTCTGCTCTCCATCAGCCGAACAGCACATCAGCGATTCCACGTAGCACTTCTTGGTTCTAGAGATACATTTCTGAGACATCATGCCCTTGATACATTGTCTCTCTTCATCGGCTTGCTCTCATGACGTTTGACAGGTTTTGTTTGCCCGGCAACACACCTTTATGTTTTCACGCTTTTAGAAGATGTCCGTCTAAACCAATCAAATTCATGCGAAGACCCTCATTTGATTAGTGATTAGTCAATAATATGTTTAAGACCTAAATGATTAGGTCTGTACAATCTTTTATACATTTTTAGAGAAATGCACTCTACATCAGGATTAACTGGATTACATCCACCGTGCAGTTTGCTTGAAATCAGTTTAATCAATCCAAAGTTAGGGTGCAGGGGACTCCCTCTCAGCTCCTCCTTAAGGCTTTGCAGCATGTACATTTGACAAATTGTTCTGCGGATTAGCTGTTTTGGAACATTCGTGCCGCACAGGGAATGAAACCATGGCGTCTGACATACAGAAAGCACACTGGCTCCTGAGGTTTTTTTGGGGATATCAGGGTATTTCTGCTCCTCGAGCTTTTCTGCCAAGTGCCGGGCTGGATTGGTGACTTGCCTGAGGCATCAGAATCGCAGTTAAATCGTCTGTCGGGGTTCAGCGCTCTTCCTGTGCTGGCGGTGGTGGTTTCACTCACTTGGGGCACAGTGGGACGCGTTTTGGCCTGGACTGGGAGGAAGCTGTCAGGCTGTATGAATGTGTGCTGCACAGCAGAGGAGGGCCCCGCTTTTTTGATTGTTTGCGCTAACTTTGGAATTGCAGCTGTCATCGGATGCATTTCTGTGCCGAACAGGTCATTCTTTGTAGAAAACTGACATTGAGTAAAGGAAGAATACTCACCATTAATAGTACTTCAGGATATTCAAAGGAGGTTTGTTCCAGTATGTCTTTGTTACAAATATTTCTATTTTGTATTGAACAATTGCATGGTAAATGCTGTCAAAATATTCTGTTTGCACTGCTGAAACAAGGAACAATATTGTAACACTTAATATTTTGTAGGTGGATGGTTTAAAATAAGTAATAATGTGGACGAAATATGTGTAAAAATAACTAAGGCAGATTTTTCCATTTGGAGATCTGGTTGATATATTTTACTAAACTACGAATGTTGCTGGGCAGCGTTTGTCTGTAAGTTGTGACATGCTTTTTTTTTTTTTACAATAAAAATATTAGGTGTGATGCATACTGTAAATTAAAATCAAATAAATGACCTTGCTTAAAATCTCTGCCAGTCTGTTTGTTTTTAAGTTTGTGTCAATGTGCGATCCAGCACAAACAAGAAGATGAGATGAATGGAAAATTCAGTGCGATTAACCTCGATTAATTCAGTTAATTTGTCAGCAAGTCATATTAACCTCAGTCACCAAATCTATTATGGTAATTATACAATTAAAATAGTTGAAGTGATGATAAACATGAAATTGGTGTGGGTTTGCTGTTCAATACCACAGTCCAACACTACAGTCCTAGGTATCCCTTGACCATTAAAACCATGTATTTATGAAGCTTTGTTGATTTACTGGTTCCTTTGTATGAATTCAAAATCAAAACCAAACGCAGTTGAGTCGGGGTTGTAGACCTTTATGCTTTAAGTGGAGTAAAGAATGCAAGGCATTAATTTGGAAATGTGGTTATTTAGAAGAAGGTGAAACCAAAAAAAAAAAAAACATTATCCATGCAAATGTGCGTGATAAAAAGCAGAGGAAATACCAGAGCAATTAAACCTTGATTAAAATGAAAAAGTCACGTACTAAGAACATACAGCTGGAGAGCTTGATCACAAACAAAGCTGCATTTCGAAATCGAGCTGGATCAAAAGGATGCCCTCAGCGGCGTGTGAATGTTTTCAAGAACTCATAAGGTGTAGCCAGGCCAGGGGACCGTATGTACAAATCCCACTCTGTCACTCCCCATTCCCAACCAGGATCTGATTCCAGAGACTGTGTAAATGAATACAACTCGTTTAAGCCCTGAGCAAACAGGCCAGGTAAGGAGAGGTGCTGCCATGAAGAAATGCAGGACAATAAAGTCAGGCTGTGACCACTGCAAATATTCAGTCGCTCCATTCACCCTTTGAACTCCCAGCCTCCGCTGATTTAGTGTGGCTTGTTCTGCCAAAAAATCATTTCTCCTCAAAGTCGTCCTGGAGACATACACAGCCACAACATGGGAGATGTAAGGACTTTTAAAGAGGTCTGTTGTGATTATTTTAGTGGCAGAAATGGGGATTAGCAAATCGAGTCATCAATCACTTGGTCTAAATAACGAGTGGATTTGGACGCTGACCCAGTGAAATGCGGTTTCCAATTGAAGGTTGTTCATCCTGGGCAAACTACACAGCTTACACCTTGCATGTGTTCCCATATACTTGGACATTTCACTTTTATCACTGGAAAAATAAAATGAGATGCTTCCCTTCAGTTTAATGCAGCAGGGATCCTCAGTCCACAACAGGCACTCGAACCACGCCAACAAATAATCCCAAAGGCTCCCAGTGCTCACTGGAGCCTGTCCTGCTCCAATATCAGCCATTTGAACTTGATTCAGGTAATATATGAAGATATGAGTTATCGGGTTTCCATTCTAGAGTGATGTAACATGGGTGGGGCCTGGTTTGATTCTCTAACAACCCTTTTTTATATGATGTAGTAAAGACTTTATTAAGGGCAGCTCAAACGTTGTTGCTGGAACGCCGGGCCCATTAAAATCGATATGACACAAGCCAGCCAGAGCCATTCTCGCTTTTGTCCATGCGGAACCAGAGGCCCGCACTGCAATAGCTACCATCCTCCTGCGCACACTGACTGTCACAACTGCACACAAAGCAAATCCGCACATCGGAATGAAGATTTTTTTAGAATTTACATTTTTTTATTTAGAAGTGACATGCCAGGGACATTTCTGCTTATTTTATTTTTCTTAATTTATGTTCTGTGTCATCTGAATGTACGCACCAGTGCTGCCAGAACAAGTCCCCAGTACGTCCAGGTGTACCTGGCAACATGAATTCTGATTCTGATAACTAGGGAAATAGTCAGACCTTCTGCGCCCCCTGACAAAATGCCACCTTTGACCCTCGTGCCCAATTTTACATATTAGATTACATTTTATCTCGCTGTACAGCAAGTGGAAGATTTCTGAACTCCCCTCAGGTGGAGATTGCACTAAGCTTGAAAATGGCACTGGAGGTAGCTCCTTGAGCAGTCATGGTCAGTGGCACCCTGAACTTTCACAGGTGGGGGCCGCCTGTCCTGGATAATTAGACGCCGTAGGTGCGGTGGTGCACGGAGGGCGTTGCGGCTTGTAAAACCCACTCGGTTTCCCAGCACAGCGGAAATAGGGTTGGAACACGGTGAACCAAGCGGCAGAACCCCCCCCCCCCCCCCATCCACGTCCCACCGCGGTCTACACGCCTCCCCGCCAAATCTGGCCAGCACGAGTTTACATAGGAATGCCTTATCGCTCTTGACAGAGGTGGACCGATGAGGAGGTCAGTCATGGGACTATCAAATATACACTGAGTAAATTTGCTCTCGGGAAGCACAAATGAGAAACAGAGAAGCTGGGCTTTGGACCGCGTCCCAGCCCAAATGTAAACTAGGCAGGACGGTGGGGAATCAAGCCCGCAAAGTGCTCTCAAATCCTCAGTAGGTCCATCTTTAAACAGGCAGGGTGATTTAAAGGGTGAGGGTGAGTGTGACGTACCAGTTGCTTTCCCTGGGCAGTGCCCCCCCCTCCCCACCCCCCACCCCCAGTGGAGATGTGACTCACTGCAGTGCTGACTGTATGTTCTCAATCGGCGAGGGTGTGGGGGGTGAGGGGTGGCTATCACCAGTATCCAGACTCAGCTGGTTTGGATCAGCACGTGGCCAGTTTGGGGACAGTGGCTGCAAGCCCAGGTGGCAGGTCGGTGGCAGACCTGCAGACACACGGCACAGCAGTACCACGCACATACACACCCACCTGTCCCCTTTGCACGACTCGCCTGGAGACAGAGAGGAGTGCCCGCGTAACACATTAACCAGAAGTGGGTCAGCGTTGGGGATATTACACTATTACACATTAACAGACCTGCAGGTTCAGTGGAGCACGAGCACCTCTGTGCTGTATCTCTGTCCTGAAACTTGTGCTGTCTATTATCCTGCTAAAAAATTAAAGATTAATAGACAGAATACCCGGTGACTATTCTGAATGTGATTAAAATCACATCTAAAAGTACAGCTGAAATGACAAACGGCAAAAAAAGCGGACCATCTATGTTCCTTAGGGGTGAGGGTGAAGATGCTTTGTTAGAACCCCCTTCCAAAGAGAGTGAGCTCTGTCCTGTCTGAGCTGTGATAAATCTATTGGGTTAATGTCCCGCGTGCCACGTCACTAAAATAATCACCCCATCTTCTGACACGGTCAATTAAAAATATGATGTGTTCTATCACTCTTTTTTTTCCCGTATTTCGACCGCCAAAGGAATGCGTTGCCGTCTAGTGCCTGAAAGTTTTTTTTTTTTCCACCTTCTCCCCAGGAAAGATATTTGCTCCGGCCTTATCTGTGGTGTCGATAACAGCGTCTTATCCGTGTCCTCAGACGCTGGTGATAATCGTGTTAGAAGGAGTACTCAGACGGGCTGTCACTTCACACCAGGTAGATAGGGCACGCTCCGCACTGCGGCCCACTCAGTCCCCGCTCACCTGTATCACTCCGAATCCTTGACGTTTCAAGGAGCTGTTGTCTGTGCTATCACTGGATAACGCTGGACAAATATGGCATAGCGCAGGGAAACAATGTGGCCCCATCTGCGGCCACGGCGGTACGAATGGAGAACGTGCAGCGGCAGGGCCCAGTTAGATACACTCTCCTTCTGCGGAAACAGAAACAGGTGGAGTGTGTCTCGCACTGTACATGCACGAGGAGTGCAGGAATTCTAGACATGTGGAAGCTGTTTACATGAAGAGGCTATCGGACTTCCTCCTGGGTCTCCATGCAATGATTTAACCATTTATGGGGACAGCTGTATCACTTATGCTCACTGCTGCAGTAACCGGTGTCAGCCAGTGGGAGGTAATTAACGGCACACTTGACAATGATTGGACTAATCATCTTGTTAGCATTTAAACTGGGTCAGCTGGTTGAAGGTGGGGGATCTAAGGCTTGCTTTCTATGTTGTGGCTTACGTAGTTTTTACCCCCTAATTTAAATAAAGGGGTGTCTTAGGATGGCTTTATCAATGAGCTTTCTTAAAGTGGCAGCTAAACAATTTCATATTGTAGTTTGCTTGTGTGTGTGTGTGTGTGTGTGTGTGTGTGTGTACATGCTTTGTTTATTTGTTGTACTGTTCAATTTTAATAGCTTTAGTTGTCCATCCCACCTTTATAACAGTCTTAACAGTCTCCACCCCCTGTGCCACTAATCCTAAATCACCCTGGGGATACCCTGACCACCAAATAATCATGAAATCAGAAGTTACAAACTAATGATATGATCTCATATTTTCTGTGCGCTTTAATCAAGAGTCAAAGATTAGTCTCTTGTGTTTTTGCATGGTGAAAGTTTTTGTCTTGTTCTCAATCTGAGTACATCAACATTTACAGTAAACTGGAGATTACTTGCAGAATGAATAATCCTCCAGAGTACAGCAGAACACGAAACCTGTAGCTGAACGGCAGATAAAATGGTTGATTTGTGGTGATATTGGTTTGCTAGTAGAAATAGTCCCTGACTGAAGCGATTCACAGGTTCCCGCGCCAAGTGGATGCCGTAATGGTAACCGAAATTGGCTCCCCTGAACATATTTGTGATATCTGCAGGCGGGGGCAGTGGACAGTATGTGCCAGGCTGTCTCTGGAACGTACATGTGGGCCAAGTTATTCTGACGAGGTGTCTAATTTATTACAGCTTTTTTTCTTGTAATTATGTCATTCTTTGTTTTTCACAAAGGTGCGCATATGTCCTGCACAATACTCTGAAGCATTCAGCAGAAATATCATTTTAAACTTCCTTAAATTCCTTTAAGGAAACTCCAGGGCAGGTCTGTTACCCAAAAAGCAGGTCTTGCCTGTGTAACTTCCATAGCTCCCCTGATACAGGAGTGGAGAACATTCTTCCACAGAGGCTTGTATCATCTATGTTTTTGTTTTGCCTTTCTCATAGCAACACCTTTGACGCCAGGTGGACATAGATCGCATCAGTTCGATCCCCATTCACTGATACTGGCCAAAGTCCCTTGACCAAA